ATTGCTCTTGTAGCATCATAAAGGGAAGGAAAAGGTCTACTCATGTCCATGGTTACAAAGAGGACAGAAGCACAAACATTTCAGAAGGCAGGAGCAAATTTCAAATACAGTTATTTTAAGAAAATAAAAGGAAGCAAATTTCAGAATATAACATGGGGTAGAAACACACCATCAGTTCATCAATTCTCACAGGGATCCAGGAAAACTGCCCTGCCTACCCATAAACCAAATGTTTCAAAACATATTTTCTGCCTCCGCCTAGCGGCGCCGGCACACCGGGTTCTAGTCCCGGTCGGGGCGCCGGATTCTGTCCCGGTTGCCCCTCTTCCAGGCCAGCCCTCTGCTGTGGCCAGGGAGTGCAGTGGAGGATGGCCCAGGTGCTTGGGCCCTGCACCCCATGGGAGACCAGGAAAAGCACCTGGCTCCTGGCTCCTGCCATCGGATCAGCGCGGTGCGCCGGCCGCAGCGCGCCGGCCGCGGCGGCCATTGGAGGGTGAACCAACGGCAAAGGAAGACCTTTCTCTCTGTCTCTCTCTCTCACTATCCACTCTGCCTGTCAAAAAAAAAAAAAAAAAAAAAAAAAAAAAAACATATTTTCTGATTAAATTCAGAAGATTACAGGACTCGGCACTCTGGGTGTTCAAATGCCAAATTAAGTTTTAGTTTCCACTACGGGCATATGTAGCCCAATCACTCAGAACATGAGAAAAACTTTTCCATAAGAAGGAACATGAAATATTCAGTCACACAGAATAACTGTGCTTAGTGCTCAAAGTGAACCAACCCCAGGATAAGCACCCAGAAAACCTGTTAGGTCTTAGGGCCAGCTCCATGGTGAAGCATGTAAAAATTTATTTATTTATTTAAAAGGCAGAGTTACAGAGAGTCAGGGCACAGAGAAAAGTCTTCCATGCACTGATTCACTCTGAAAATGGCTGCAATGGCCAGAGCTGGATTTACTTGAAGCCAGGAGCCAGAAGCTTCTGTCAGTCTCCCATGCGGGTGCAGAACCCAAGAACTTGGGCCATCTTTCACTGCTTTCCCAGGCCACGGCAGAAAGCTGGATCTCAAACAAGCACCCATATGAGATGGCAGCACTGTAGGTGGCAGCCTCATCTGCCATGCCACAATGCCAGCCCTCAAAATAAACCTATTTTAAAAAGCATTTTAACTGAGGGATGGGAGAGAGTTTGTTTGTCCAAAGCAAGGATAACATAACATAACTACTACACAGAAGAAGCTCCTGGCTCCTGGCTTTGGATCGGCACAGCTCCGACCACTGAAGCCAACTGGGGAGTGAACCAGCAGATGAAGACTTCTCTCTCTCTGCCTCTCCTCTCTGTAACTCTGACTTTCAAGTAAAATAAATAAATCTTTTTAAAAAAATAACTACTAGTACTCATTAACTTCAAAAATATAGAAATTTAAGGAAACTCAAAATATAACCAAAATCATCATCTACTACACATTATAATCTTTATTTTGAGAGTCATATTAGAAAAAAAAATTAACCCCTCCCCCATTGAAAAAATGCACATGGGACTGGTATAGTAAGTTAAGCAGACCCTGGCAGTGCCAGCACCCCACATGGGCACTGGTTCAAGACATGGCTGCTCCATTTCCAATATAGCTCCCTACTAATTCACCTGGGAAAGCAGAGGATGATGGCCCAAGTGTTTGGGCCCCTGAAATCAAGTGTGAGAACCAGAAGAAGCTCCAAGCTCCTGGGTTCACCTGGCCCAGCCCAAGTCATTGTGGCCATTTGAGGAGTGAACCAACAGATGGAAGACCTCTCTTTCAATCTCTCTGTAAATCTGCCTTTCAAGTAAATAAAATTGATCTAAAAGAAAATACACTGTATACAATGTAGTATTTTGGTTATTTCCTCATACAAAGAAAGCTCAGATAAACTGTAGATGAATCCTCCTGGCTTGATGCAATTCAGAAGGATGATTGCCTTCTGCCACCCTGTGGTAGACATCAATGAAAGTTATTAATGGGGAGATGAATGGGCTGGAGCCATGGCTCACTAGGCTAATCCTCTGCCTGTGGTGCCGGTACTCCAGGTTCTAGTCCCAGTTGGGGCGCCAGTCCTGGCCCAGTTGCTCCTCTTCCAGTCCAGCTTTCTGCTGTGGCCCAGGAAGGCAGTGGAGGATGCCCAAGTGCTTGGGCCCTGCACCCGCATGGGAAACCAGGAGAAGCACCTGGCTCCTGGCTTTGGATCAGTGCAGCGTGCCAGCCGTAGCAGCCATTTGGGGGGTGAACCAATGGAAGGAAGACCTTTCTGTCTGTCTCTCTCTCTCACTGTCTAACTCTGCCTGTCAGAAAAAAAAAATGGGAAAATGAATGGACACCATCAGACTGCTTCCTCATATGCCACCTTTCCTTAAAGACATCACTGCTACATTACCAGATTATGTCTCTTGTGTGAAACATATCTCTCCTAAAAATTTTAAAGAACTTGCCAGAAACTTATAGCAGAGCAGGGAATGATGTGCCAAGGACAGTGAGTTAGCCTGAGTAGTCTAGGAATCCTGTTCTTGGCTGTTTTCAAGTTCATATTTTTTTTTTTTTTTTGACAGGCAGAATGGACAGTGAGAGAGAGAGACAGAGAGAAAGGGCTTCCTTTTGCCATTGGTTCACCCTCCAATGGCTGCTGTGGCCGGCGCACTGTGGCCGACGCACCGCGCTGATCCGATGGCAGGAGCCAGGAGCCAGGTGCTTTTCCTGGTCTCCCATGGGGTGCAGGGCCCAAGCACCTGGGCCATCCTCCACTGCACTCCCTGGCCACAGCAGAGGGCTGGCCTGGAAGAGGGGCAACCGGGACAGAATCCGGCACCCCGACCGGGACTAGAACCTGGTGTGCCGGCGCCGCTAGGCGGAGGATTAGCCTAGTGAGCCGCGGTGCCGGCCCTTTCAAGTTCATATTAATGTACACACAACATAGTTGCTGAGAAAGTGTCTTACAGTTGTTTCCTGGGTGTGAAGCAGCTCTTTTCAGCAGAAACACGTAACTGCCTGTCCACTCGCAAGCACTGTGATAGGGAGTACATGGGAGAAAAGTTCAAAAACACACTGGGTTTCAGAGGAAGATGTTGTTACCCTAACAACCTCTATCCAGGATTCACTTTCTATTTTTACTTCCTAGGTAACCTTACTATGCTAAATGAGTTTCACAGATTAATAATCTGGTGACAACAGGACTCTAACAGAATCTATGAACCACTCAGTTAATCAAGTGATAACTTCATTATACTGAAAGTTAGTCTATAGCAATAGTTTTTAGGGCCACATGTCTCTTTTTTTTTTTTTAAAGATGTTTTATTTATTTATTTGAGAGGTAGAAATACAAATATTGAGACAGACAGAAAGGTCTTCCTTCTGCTGGTTCACTCCCCAGTTGGCCAAAATGGCCAGAAGAACTGCATTAATCTAAAGCCAGGAGCCAGGAGCTTCTTCTGGGTCTCCCACATGGAGACCCCCCACATGCCTTCCCAGGCCATAGCAGAGAGATGGATCAGAGGAGGAGCAGCTGGGACTCAAACGGGTGCCCATATGGGATGCTGGCACCACAGGCAGAGGATTAACATACTGAGTCACAGTGCCAGCCCAAAGCCACATCTTTTACTATACTGTGTATAGTAAAAGTATAGTATACTATCTCTGTGGGGGGAGGGGAGCATATTTTCTCTTTTCTTCCTTACCCCTCCTCACATTAACACCTTGTATAAAGGCTTCCATAGACCACAGTCATTATGAAAATCTGTCATTAATATCCTCCCATGTTGAAAATGGCATGGGGTTAAACACAGAACTCAGAATAAGAAAAGTAATTTGAAGCTGGTGTTGTGGCTGAGCAGGTAAAACCATAAGGGTGCTGGTTCGAGACCTGGCTGCTCCACTCTCTGCTATGGCCTGGGAAAACAGTGGAAGATGGCCCAAATGCTTGGTCCCCTGCATCTGTGTGGGAGACTTGGAAGAATTTCCTGGCTCCTGACTTCCATGCAGTTCTGGCCATTGTGACCATCTAGGGAGTGAACCAGCAGATGGGAGACCTCTCTATCTCTCTGTGCCTTGCCTCTTTGTAACTCTGCCTTTCAAATAAATAAATAAAAACATTAAAAAGTAACTGACCCTCTTAATTAAAACCATATGGACTGTAAGATAATCAGCTTGGTGGAGCATTGAGTGACTTTAAAGAACTAGAAGAGAAAAATTGCTACTTTTCTGTATTTATGTCTTCATAGCTCTCTATTTTATGAAAATCCATATTAAAGTAGCTCATTATTAACTCACACGGTAGACTTGCATTAATTTCAGTTCACTTCTCACTTTGCAAAGGGATTAGCAGCAGGTAATAATAGTTGACATCCCTAATAACATAAGAAAAAAGGGTTGAAGAAAGAAATCGAAAAGCAGGAAAATAAATCAGCTACATTTCCATGGCCTCAAGCTCCAGATTGAAAAAGAGTCTGTTAATTAAACACGGAGGAGAGATCAATCTACTAAGCTACTGCACAAGCTTCACATTGCCGCTGGGAAATACAGCCAAACTCATAGCGCCCTGGCTGTCAGATGTGTCCACAGGGTCCAGCCTGGGGGCCACTGGGCCCCACCCAGCTGGAACAACCATGGGGTATTGCTGGAAGCCCAGCCAGAAGGCATTCTCTGACCCACCCTAAATGAGAACTGGGCTATTTAAATCTAGGGAAGGGGACTCCTTCCTTTGCCATGCTCTCAACTGCCCTGCTTGTGCCATTCCTCGTCCAGTGTACTGTAAGGAGAATTTGAGCGAGGCAGCCCGTGGGACTGGCCGTGCATCGGGAGACTGGGAAGCGGCGGTGGGAGACACAACACCTGGGTTCCAGCCTTGACTCTGCCAGAGACGCTCCCAGGATCACTGAGAACCAAGTGATCAATGTCTGGGAGCCGCTACCCGCCATCGCACCCACCCCTCTCCCACACACGCATAGATGCCCCTTCCTGTTCTCCATACTTGCCGTGGAAACTCTCGGGAGCACGTCCCCTTTCTTCAGGACACCTGGAGAGCAAAGCGGAAAGTGTGGGACAGGAGAAGTCGCTGGAACTTGGGGCCCACGGTGGCAGATGCAGAGGCACAGAAGCAGCGGGCGGCAGGTCTGGGTGTGTGCTCCCGAACCGCCTGCAATTGCACTTGCAGAGCAAGACTCCCCAGGGAATGTGGGAGACGAGCAGTGCGGCCTCTCAGGGCACACTCTGATCAGTAAATGAACTTCCTCTGTTCTCAACCCCCGGGCCACAGGGAAAGGCACGCGCATGCGTACGTTCTCCCACATGCACACGCACAGGCGCTCAGAGCACGGAAAACGTTAGAGCACCAGGTGACTCTGGGAAATGGAGTCCAGGCCAGGGCATTCCTAGATAGACTTACTGGCCCTCTCCTAGGACTTCAGTACGGGGTGGGTGGAGACAGGCTGGGAACCAGAGGGCGTTTGCTTTTGTTTCCATCCCTCCTTCCCTTCCTTCCCACCCCAGATCTCGAGGGTCAGCTGCTGTTCTTCCTTTCTTGAACAAAATCTTAAGAAGTGACAGCCACTGCTGCTGAGTCCCAAATCCCGGTTCCCTCACACACGCTGTTTCTCAGGAAAATCCCCTGCTGCTTTATTCCTGCACAGCTTCTCTCAAGTAACCCATGACAAGGATTTCAATGTAACTCTCAGCACAGGTGTACACGGCACAGTTTAACATCTAGATTTGAGAATACAATTTTTACTTGTGTCTTTTATTTGTGGTTCTTTTCAAAGTATTTTACACCACCCTCTAATTCACCAAGTACAAAAAAAAAAAAAAAAAAAAAAGAGAACTGGATACAGGACTAACATTGCCAAGTATCTTCTAGGGGCCAGATTAACAGAGTAAATGCCTTACTTTGTATCAATTATACCTCAGGTTAATTCTGGAGACCGTATTCTCAATTTACAAAGAGAAAGCTGAGGTGGAAAGAGATTCGAATTAAATTTGCCCATGGAAGTATGGTAAAAAAAAGTCTAGGTTAAAGGCCAAAGTGAAATATTGGTTTAAGAAATCTTTCAGGACCAGCACTGTGGCATAGTGGGCTAAGCCTCTACCTTCAGCACCGACATTCTTTATAGGGGCTGGTTCAAGTCCCTGCTGCTCCACTTCCAATCCAGCTTTCTGCTCTAGCCTGGGAAAGCAGTAGAAGATGGCCTGAATGCCTGGGACCCTGCATCCACATCAGAGACCCAGAATTTCCTGGCTCCTGGCTTTGGATCAGCTTAACTATGGCTATTGCAGCCATTTGGGGAGTGAACAAGTGGATGGAAGACTTCTCTCTCTCTCTGCCTCTGCCTCTCTGTAACTCAGCCTTTCAAATAAAAAAAAAATCTTCTTTAAAAAAAGAAATATTTCTTTTATCTTTGGGCTCAGTTTCTAAAACCCAAGATTTCTCATCTCTAAAATAAAAAGTGAGGGAGAGGAGGAGTATCTACAATCCTAATCTTCACTGTAGAGAAACACATAGGATTATAACTTATCTAAAAAAGAAAGGAGGTTCAAAGTTGCTATTGCTGTATGGTTATTTTTCTCAAGTTTAATATCAAGATAGTGTAAATATTATGCATTCTTAGGTATATGTGTGGTGTTTGATTTTTAAGATTTTAAGTAGAAATGTAAATGGAAGCAGGATGACATGGAGTTCTATTTGTGATTACTTCTGTCAATTATAATTCATGGGATTAGAATTGCTGGATTAGGAATGCTTAAATGGATCCATTCATTTCACACTAATGTTTATTATGTCAGGCAATATTCTTTGTGTAGACTGCTTTTTCTTGCCAGATTGAAAATTCAGGAGGGCAAGAAACATGTTTGCTTTGACATTAAAACTCAGCATCTTGATAGTCATTCTGTTAGTTGAATGAATAAATGAGGCTATAAAAATTAAACAAATACAATTTTTGATCCCCAATAACTACCTAGTTGAAGAGACAGTGAAATAGATATCTATTTGATAACAGACACAATTAGATGAATGTATAATTTGTTGCTCAGAGACAACTTTGATAATAAAAGAGATATATTAATAATGACACAGGGCTGAAATGTATAAACAGAAACCATCCAGGGCCAAGCAGGTTAAATGTTCACCCTAGCTTTGTAAGGCATTCCATTCACTATTTAGTAAGCATTTACTGAGCATTCTTTTGTGTGGTGTGTTGAAAGAACTACCAGCAACATGATTTTCCTAGATATTGGAGCAAGAGAACCTGAGCAATCAGAAAAAGTTGGGATGAACTAAGAGGTTTTTGACACAAAGATAAGAAAAACAAAAAGCAGAGAGGTCAATTAAAAAGTATATCAAAGGTAATTTAGTAGGACCTGAACCAAGGTATGGTGGTAGTGGGAATGAAGAAGAGGCAACAGATTACAGGGAGATCCAAATGGCAGAAACAACAGGATTTCAGTGGTAGATGAAGGCAGGAGGGAACTCATGTGTAAATCTTCATTTGGATTTTATTATTTAATGGACAAGGAGTTCTCAGTACATTCATGTTCATCAGTAATAAAAGGCTACCTACAACTGACTTATAAACTTCCCCTAAATCCAAGACACAATCTCATGGGTAGCTACTATCTATAAGCCTTATGTTGATCATCAAGCCAAATATTTTTAACTGCTACAATCTACAATGGTCCTCATTATGATGCAGTTACTTAGAGACAAGAAGACGTAATCCATGTCTATAAGAAAGGTCTAAATAAAAAAGTAAAATTCAGGGGCTTGCGCTGTGGCGCAGCAAGTTTGGCGCAGCAAGTTAACATCCCATATGGGCCCCTATTCAAAACCCGGCTGCTCCACTTTCAATCCAGCTCTCTGCTATGGCCTGGCAAAGCAGTAGAGGATACTTGCTCCCCTGCACCCACATGGGAGACCTGGAGGAGGCTCCTGGCTGCTGGCTTCGAATCAGAACACCTCTGGCCATTGTGGCCAATTGGAGAGTGAACCATCAGATAGAAGAGCTCTCTCTCTCCCTCTCTCTGCCTCCCCTCTCTCTGTGTAACTCTGATTTTCAAATAAATAAATAAATGAATAAATATTTTTTAAAAAAGAGTAGTAATGGTCAATATTTATAAAAAAGTTAACTTAAAAAACCCACAAAATCATATAATTCAAAGCTAAATTTGGAATACCTCGCTAATTCACAATTTATATATTCACCAACCTTAGGTAACTAAAGCACAATTAAGCAGGAAAGAAGTAAAAAAAATTTCCCTAGAGAGGGGCCGGCACTATGGCATAGTGGGTAAAGCTGCCACCTGCAGTGTGGCATCCCATATGGGCATCGGTTCAAGTCCTGGCTGCTCCACTTCTGATCCAGCTCTCTGCTATGGCCTGGGAAAGCAGTAGAAGATGGCCCAAGGCCTTGGGCTCCCGCACCCATGTGGGAGACCTGGAAGTGGCTCCTGACTCCTGGCTTCAGATTGACACAGCTCTGGCCATTGCAGCCAATTGGGAATGAACCAACGGATGGAGGACCTTTCCCTCTCTTTCTTCCTCTCCTCTCTCTGTGTAACTATTTCAAATCAATAAATAAATCTTTTCAAAAACAATTTCCTGGAATAGCCAAAATGCACATTATAAAGTCCAAGTAAGGTGTCTAGCCACTGGCTCACCATCCTGACTCATAAAAACTCACTCTGTCCTGGCTACTCTGATATGAGTGGATGGACACAAAGCAGAAAAGAAAACAATAGGTTTGAGCAGTGGATAAATGGAAAGGGCTCCAACAACAATGCTGCAGAGCTCTGTGGCTCCTAACTGAATGTAATATGCAGGCAGGCATCTCCTTAATTTCTGCCATACTCTCAGTGTTCTAGGACCAGAGAACTGAGCACAAAATCAGAGCTTTCAAGTCCAACATCCACATTCACTTAGTGATAGGGGAGCACTGTAGCTTTGCTTCATGAGTACAACTAATCCTCCACACTTGATATGTCATCCTGTTTGGATCCACTGGAGCTGGAGAGCGTATGGGGTCGAGGGGAGTATAGGAGCAAGGTGTGTGAGGGACTCATGTGGTGGTAGCTGTGCAGAGGAAAGGGTGGAGGAGGAGGAGAAGAGCAAGAGCCCCTAGCACTGTGGGAATGAGGAGCCGAGGATGAATGGAGACAGGGGTGACTTGTCTGCATTATGCCTGGTACTCTCCTGGGGTATAATTGATGCACATGAATAATGTGAATATCATGATTACCCTAAAGGCAATTTCACGTCCTGGTAGATGGATGACAAGGACATAGATAATTAAAAACATGTGACAAAAGTTGTAGGTGCACAATACAATGCACCTACATCATTTGTGGATGCCATGCCCATAAGGCAGGAACCACCAGGTTAAGGTCAGATCTCAGGGCTGGCATTGTGGTGTAGAGGGTAAAGCCACCCCCAGCAGTGCCAGCATCCCATATGGGCACTGGTTCAATTCCCAGCTGCTCCACTTCTGATCCAGTTCTCTGCTCTGGACTGGGAAAGCAGATGGCACAAGCCCTTGGGCCCCTGCACCCTCATGGGAAGACCTGGAGGGATTCTCCTGGCTCCTGGGTTCTAAGCGGTGCAGCTCTGCCTATTGCAGCCACCAACTGTGAAGTGAACCAGTGTATGGAAGACCTCTTCTCTCTCTGCCTCTCCTTCTATCTCTGTGTAACTCTGACTTTCAAATAAATAATAAATCTTTTTTAAAAAAAGAGTCAGATCTCAGAGGTACAGAGCCCAGAAATGACAACATTGTATGAAATGAAAATAGGCAGATGGTAGGTAGAAGCTTGGTAACTAAAGCTGGGATCAGCACATGATCTTGACTGGCAGGCTGTCAATTAACCTGGACTAGGCTGGGATCTCCCAACTTCTAACCTAGTGCCCATGTCTTTGCAGAGAGGCATAACCAAGGAAGAGAAAAATCATCTCTGGCTTTGGCTGAGGGGACTGTGGGAGCTCCCCACATTTGAAGCCAGAATATTTTAACCCTGAGATTCCCTCTTTCATAGGAAGGCTCTTTTCTGGCCTTGTCTTCTTAGCATAAACCTCTCAAGCCACCAGACCTCCCATAGCCCCACATCACAGGGCACATGTGAATGTGAATGGCTGAATGAACAGAATCTTGAGGTATCATGTAAATGGAAGACTCATGAATCTGTTCTCGCGTCATGGGTGTACTTGAAGGTGAGAAAACTGAGGCAGGGACTTTGGTCATGCTCAACCATAGAGTCCTCCTTACAAAGCAGAAAAAAAAAAAAAAAAGAAAAAAAATCCTGTTCACACTTCAGAAGTGCCCAGCCACCCACCTCTTGAGTGCATGCTCTAACAATGACAAATCCCTAAGACCAGAGTTGGGCAGGCACTGTCTTGACAGTGTAGAAAACATTTGGGGAGGGAAAGCCCAGCCCCTCTAGAGCCCATTGGTTAAAGGATCCAGCAGAAGACTCGGAGGCTTGCCGCATCACACAGCTGCCCACAGAGAAGGATGGTCACAGATGTGCTGTGAGCTGTGGCCTCGTGGTACTGGCTGCAGCTGTTGACACATCAGAGATGACTG